CTTGGTGAATAAGATGCTCAAAAAACTTTATCAAAAAATTCCACCACGAACTGTCCCAAATCGCGACAGCCGGACAGAACCTCCTATAGAAGGATTTGATTGACCTTTTTATGAAAGTTTGAGGACCTATTTGACAGTTTTCCCTACATTCTTTTACATTTTATGCATTTATGAGCTGAAAAGATACTTTTACGAGATTTTTGATAATTAGTTTTTAGTGATTGAAAAGATATTAAAAGTAAAAGTTGATAACTGTTTGATAAAAAAACTGACTGTTTCATTTAGAACCTGTTTGGTAACATGAAAATCGGCTGATTTGGCTGATTCTGCTAAAATTTATGAAGTTCTGGCTGAAGTGGTTGCATCAGCTGATTCTCCTGATTTAAGAAAAAAATAATTTTAAAATATATTTTATTAACAAAATAAAGAAAAAATTATATGTAAAAATAGCTAAAATGGTCATCTACTGTAACTTCAGCCAATACAGCGAGAAAAGTAACTCTAACCTTACTTTTTCTGCTTATATTACACAATTCAGTGCGCGAAAGCAAACGTTACATGTTTGGTGAAAAAGTTGGCTGAAAAGCCTGATAAGCCGAAAAACAGTGCTGTCAAACGGCCTCTTAGTTTTGTATGGCAAACAAGCTATTGGAACTAATTAATGCTAAAAGTTACAAACTTTTCTCACAAGCTATTCACTGTAACATCTCAAAAGAGATCTTTTATTTTTAAAATCTTCTTAAATATTACTACCACCGTCCCGCTAAGATTGTCTCATTTTACCATTTTGGTCCGTTCCACTAAGATTGTCGCATACCTTATTTGGTAAAATTTGTGTGGCTCTAAATCATTCTTACTTCATTGTTACTTTATCAATCTAATATCAACCACATAAACCACTTTTTATAGATTTGTGTCACTCCCTCTTGTCCTGTTGTTAATGGGAGGGAGAGAGTAGCACACATAACATGCAATTAGAAGTTTTTAAATACTTTTTAAATAGTACAAAAGCAGTCAGTAACTTATGCTAAACATGCATTGAGTAAACGTTTTTGTTATTATTATTACTAGTTTTCAAGCCCGTGCGATGCACGGGCAGTATGCATTTTAGGTAATTTTAAATTTGATTTTTTCGGGAGCATAAATAATGTGATGCAACAACAAAATGAATTCAATCTAATATAGAATCTGTTTGATAATACTAAAATTGGTCGAATTAGCTTATTTTGCTGAAATTGATTCAATTCTGGCTGAATGGTCTGAATAGGTGGAATCTCCCGAATCATGAAAAAATATGTAAAATATATTCCATTTTTAAAACAAATAAAAGATTATATGAAAAATAGTTAAAGTGGTCTTCTGCATAAGCATCTCAAGTAAAAATAATTGTTATGAACCCAATTTTAAAGAAGTCATAATCTCATGTCCTCTAAATTACTTTATTTTTTATGGTGTAAATTACTTTATTATGCACCTCAAGTTTTTTTCGTAATACACGTCATTCAACTTGATATGAAATACTGAGTACATACTTTTAATTTTTAATAATAAGATGTTACATTTTACTCATTATTTTGTCACATTTTAAAATTTTAAAAATGGAGTTTTTTATTTTACATTTTACTCATTATTTTGTTACATTGAAAACGATTTTTAATTGTTATGGATGTCAAAATTGTTTTATTGAGAATTTCAAAAATAATACTTTTCTAAAATTTCTCATTCAACTTGGTATGAAATACACATTTTTTAATTTTAATTGTGAGATCTTACATTTTACTCTTTAATAAGGACGTTTTGAATTGAATTAAAATTTCGGGTTTTATTTGGTTTGAATTAATATGATCTGGTAGATGCTTGTTTTACATTTTATGCGACTTATTATTATTATTATTATTATTATTATTATTAGTATTATTATTACTATTATAAAAGTCAGATCTAGTCTGATTTAGTCTGAAATTGAAATTAATCCAATTAAAAACATTCAATTGAATAAAGTTAGGAATTTGTAAACATATAAAGATTTCCTAATTTGGATTAGGAATCTATTTCAAAAGTTAAGTCATATTTAAATTGTACTAATATATACTTTTTTGGCTAGGCTAAACGTATTTACTTGTGATAATAAATAAACATATACATATACATATATTTATGTATGATATCAATTTTCATCCTTATTAAATATGGTAAGCTACTTGATCAGAAATATTCTTTTTAAGAGATTCTATATTTGAATAAACAAATATGTATATTTATACTTAACAGTTAACACTTATCAAATACGTAATAGGTGTTGAAAAAGTTACCAAATTAATTAAGGTGTATTTCTATGGTCTTTTGTTTCCATATCAATATCAATATCAATATCAATATCCAATCAAAAATAGAATCTAATAAAAACAATAGGTATAAAAATAACTAAATTATTGTTATATATAATGACATGGCAGGATTATGCATGTGGTGTTTTGTATGCTCTTAAAAAGTCCCTCTTTTATATATATACATATATATATTGATGTCTAAATTATGAAATTAGAAATTAAAATCTGGCCCAAATTTAAATTTAAATAAGGAGTATAGTATTCTACGTAATACTCCGTAGAATCTGGTTTGGAAGAATAAAACAGTGATGTTCTTTCCAAATAAATTAGTCGATATTTAATCTGGAAAATATGATGAGATGATGATGGAAAATACTTCGTATATATAGTCTAGTGATGAGCCTAATGTAGTCTAGTGATGTACGGTCATCATTCATCAATTTTTATGTGTAGTCATAATTGTTTAAAGTTAAATATAGAAATATAGTCTAATTTCTAAATTATGAAATTATAAATGTGGCCGGAATTTAAAGTTAAACATAGTATTCTACGTAATACTCCGTAGAATCTGGTTTGGAAGAATAAAATCGTGATGTTCTTTCCAAATAAATTAGTCGATATTTAATCTGGCCAAAATTATAAATACATAAATTAAAATAATGATGACATGGCAGTGTTATGTGGCACTCTGTATGCTCTTAAAAAGTTCCTCTTTTATATATATATATTGATTTTATTAAATTTCAAAAATATACGTTCCTTGAAAAAATATTAACTCTAACTTCCCATCTAACCTCCACAATTAAAAGAGGCTCCATTTGTAGGGGTAAGTAAAAATAGTACTCCGTATTATATTTTTGTAACTTTAAACATACAGTGAAAGAAATTATATTCAAGAAGAAAAATGTCATATTAGAAGAAAAAATAAATCTTATAAATGTCATATTTATATTCAAGAATTATCTTAGTGAATATAGACACACACATATATATTTATATATATTTACGTATGTGATAAAATAATGATACAACATATAATTAAAAGTATAATGGATATGATTGTGGATATCATTTTGACATTTAACATAAAGCGATCATTTTAGTGATTAGTGATTATGGATATATGTTCAACTTCGTATAATCGTACTAATTTTTATCAAATTTTGTTCATACCTTGAACTTCATAAAAATTCAAGCAAAAGACATCAAACCTCTTGTATAAGGATGTTTTCTTTTGGACTGAAATTTGCTGGTCTGGTCTGGTCTGGTCTGTTTAAGTCTGGTCTGGTCTGGTCTGGTCTGGTCTGAACTGGTCTGGTCTGGTCTGGTAAACGTCTGGTCTCTGTGTATTTTATAACTACGGAAGTCTGGTCTGGTCTGGTCTGGTCTGTTTAAGTCTGGTCTGGTCTGGTCTGGTCTGTTTAAGTCTGGTCTGGTCTGGTCTGGTCTGTTTAAGTCTGGTCTGGTCTGGTCTGGGACTGAAAACAGTCCAAAAGAAAACATCCTAAAACTACAAGTAATTTTTATTTTTTGGGACAGCTAATATTATGTAACAAATCATTGGTTCTAAATTTATCTTAAGTATTTATTTTTCAAGTGGGAAAAAAGACTTTAATTAAATATTACTACTATTTGCTCCAGAAAAAAATAATTCTAACTTCAGAAAATATATTTCATAAACAAAGTACTCCGTATTATAATATAAAATATAAAATCGAAATAAAAAAAATAATAAATGTGACCGCGATAACTTTAATGACTATATCATAATGGTTATAAAACTTACACATAGCAACTTACGGTTACATTTTTTCCATAATTTTTTTATTAATACGATTTTAGAAAAAACTTCAAAAAATATATAAACATATTTTTATACTCCGTAAGAAATTAAATTATGCGGTCTTAAACATGCTTTTGCTTGTGGACCGAAATTTATGCTACCAGCTATCGTCCATATATAGGTTAAGAACATTCTAGTTAATTAAAATCAAACATCGTCTCTGACGATCATATGAGTATTTCACTATACCGAGGTTACTTTTCTAAGAATAAGTTTGCACTAATATAATTTCTATTTATAGAGTTCGACCGTCAATAATTAAATATAATTTGCAAGTTCAAATAACACTGTTTTTAGTTGATAAGCACTAGTTTTTCCAAATTCATTTCCTCTTTATTATCTTTAGCATGTAAATATATATAGTAATAAAAATATGGAAAATTTGCAATTTTCATCCCATAACTTTTGACCTTTTCCATTATTAGTCTCGTAACTTTAGTCACTTGCAAATTTGGTCATGTAAATAATTAATATTTATGATTTCAGGACTTTTTTTGGAAAAATACATTTTCTAGCGATAGTATACCAGGGAAAATTTCACCGGCGTCGGATTTTTCTGCCGAAAAGTATACTTTCCGATGAAAAGGTCCTTAAATCGTAAAGATTTATTAGTCACAGGACCAAATTTACAAATCATGAAAGTTTCATGAACAATAACGATAATAGTCGAAGATTACAGGACCAAAATTGCAAATCTATCTAAAACTACCCTTTTTAATTTTTACCATCTTAATCTTTAATTTCCCCAACCTGGCCATTATAAAGAACCGTTCCACTCTTATCAAAAATAAAAAAGAACCATTCCTCTCTCTCTTCCCTATATATGTACTAAGTATATGCCTAGACAAGTTCCCCCATGCCTTTTACGCAAGTCAAACCATTTCTCTCTAAACAAGAGAAGAGAAAGAGCAACAATCAGATAAGAAGGTAGCTAGAAAAATATAGAAAGTTCAGTCCTTAATTAGTGAACTCTTTCTTTCTAGAAATAGCTTGAAAGAGAGGGTTTATCGAGAAATGGGAAGGCCTCCATGTTGTGATAAAATTGGTGTGAAGAAAGGGCCATGGACTCCTGAAGAGGATATCATTTTGGTTTCTTATATTCAAGAACATGGTCCTGGCAATTGGAGATCTGTTCCTACTAATACTGGTAATTATTTATTCTATTAATTATCTCTTCCACTTTACATGTTTTTGTAATTATTCAGTAGATCACAATAAAGTTATATGTACTTTAATTTAATTGTTTTGTTTTCTCACAATCAAATTTCAACTCTATATACTAAGTATAGTAGTATGATATTTGAATTTGATTTTTGCAACTTAATTAGTACAACTTTTAAATTAAACATCAAAAGGAGGAAATTAGTATCTTGAATCGGAATTATCCCTTCATCATTTAGACGGAAATTAAAGAGTATTATTAATTTCAAGTTATTTCATGCTTTATGGGTGCTTTTTTTCTTTTAGGGTTTCTGGTAGGTTCGGTTCATTAAAACTGGCACTTAATACTCACCCAACTACTTGCTTCTTTATCAGGCCAAGTGGAAGGACCAACAAAATTTAAAATAAAGATGATACTCCGTAGGATATAGTCTTATCATGTTTTTTTAATTATCTTTCTATTTTGATTTTTTTACTACCACAGAAAATAAATCATTAATTAATTGATTTTTGGGATGCTTTTTGTTTACTTCATGCAGGTTTGCTTCGGTGCAGCAAAAGCTGCCGGCTCCGTTGGACTAATTACCTCCGTCCAGGAATCAAGCGAGGGAACTTCACTGAACAAGAAGAGAAGATGATCATTCATCTCCAGGCACTTCTTGGGAATAGGTCAGTAAACACAAAAATCCTTAATTGATTGAGCTCTTAGGATGTTTTTTATGTGTGCTTGAGTTTTCTGATGTGATTATCCATTTAAATCTGACCTGGTTTGATACTTGTCTGGTCTTTGGCATATTACAATTGTCGAGGTCAGGTCTGATATGAGCTATTTAAGTCTAGTCTGATCTGGTCTCAAAATTGTCTGGTCTCTAGTATGTTTCGAATGTCGAGGTCTGGTCCAATATATTTAATCTGGTCTGTGATTGAAATAAATCTAAATAAAAACATCCTAATAAAACAGAAATAGCAAAAATATATAATTTGTTGCCAAATGGTCTTTAGTTATTAGTAATTGTCTAGTTCTAGTTGTAATTAGGTCTAGATATAATGTTTTTGTGTCCAAGATCAACAGTATTGGTATAAGACATTATTTTCCTCATTCACTATAGTAATAATTACACAAAGACATACGGCAAAATTTTGCAAGATGTAATTAAACTCCATGAAAGTATCTCCAGATCTGGCTAGGGTTATAGGACTGTATAGTACTGTATAAAAACAATTATTGAAGATGTTTTTTGTTGTATATGATACTCCGTAATTATTAGCAGCGAAGAAAGTGAAAACATATCAATTACTCCGTATATTAATTAACACTTCGCTCTTAATCACAATCATTATTTGTTGAAAAAAATTTAAAAACTCAATTATTATTTTAGACTTCGCTCGAACACAATATAAGGTTGATTATGTCAATTCATATGCATTCAAGGTGGATTACGTCAATCCTTATGCATTTATGGTTGATCAAAAGTCAATTCTTATACACCTACGTCTTTTAGGGAACGGTTTCATGATGATGAGATAAGAATGAAAGAGAACCATGTTCTACTAGTTCAATATTAATATAATGAGAATATTATCCAATAGGATTAAAAACGGGATAAGGGTTAGTTTGGTCCTCGAAGTTGCAAAAAAGGGGTCAAATAAGTCCTTATATAGAAGATTATGTCCGGACGTGTCATTTGAGGTGACTCCCGGTAGAATTTTTTGATGAATTTTTTTTAGCATCTTATTCATTAAGTCTAGTTTACTCATACTAAATTTCAGATAAAAATTCAATCGGGAAGACATTCAAATGAATTCTTGAAGATAACTGTGCCGTTAAAAGCGCTGTTATCTTCAAGAATTCATTTGAATGTCTTCCCGATTGAATTTTTAGCTGAAATTTGGTATGAGTAAACTAGACTTAATGAATAAGATGCTCAAAAAAATTTATCACAAAATTCCACCGGGAGCCACCTCAAATGGCACGTCCGGACAGAATCTTCTATATAAGGACTTATTTGACGCCTTTTTTGCAACTTCGAGGACCAAACTGACCCTTTACTCGATTAAAAACGTTTGAAAATTTAAAATAGGACTGTCATGTTTTTATTCCCAAAATAAAACTAATTACTGTCATGTTTTTGCAGTATCAGACTTCAAACATGATAGTACTTTCCAAACTTGGCAGTAATTACCTCTATTTTGGGAATAAAAAACATGGCAATCCTATTTTGAAATTTTCAAACTGTTTTCGTCCTATTTTGGGAATTTTCCCTAATATAATCAATGATCTTTGATGTACTGACTCTTATACTCATCATGTTTGTAAATATTTTTTTGTTTGTGAATACAGTTCACATGCAAAACATGTGTTACTTTGTCTGTGCAAATTGTGCACAAACAAAATATTGTTTGTGAACGAGACTCACAGATTAAAAAAACCTCACAAACATGGTAGGTATAAAAAGTGAGTATAAGGGTGAGTACAAACATCATTACTATAATATAATATAGAAAATTTCTCTAGATCGATATGATTAAAATTTAGACAAAAATGCATAAATAGGACTACATGTATTTTATTCCCGAACAGGACTCATTTGATTCTGTTAAAATTATAATCTTCACCTTTTAGGAGTAAATAAATCATATTTTAGAAAGAAAACAATGATAGTTTTTCTTTTACATAAGGAATTTTCTCAATATAATACTCTTTTATTTCGTTCTCATCCAAAGAAGAAAATATGACACTTATTTTGGGACAATCCAAACGAAATAGGAAGACAGATAAAATGGGACATATAGAGTAATAATAATCAACTCCAAGTCTCCAAACTTATTAAGGCTGCGTAGTAGATTAGTACTTATATTTATCTCAGATTAAGAAGAGATAAATAAAATACTTAGATCAATAAGTATATCATGTTTGACACGAGAGCATTAAATTAACATTTCACGGTGAAATGGTGCGTCATGAGTTCTTGTCATGGCATTAAATTAAATCTCATGGTGAGATGGTGCGTCATTAATTGTCATAAATAAAATTTACAAAATATATAATGAGTCACATATTATACATACATATATAATGCTATATATATCCGATCCATCTCCGTCTCATTTAATTTTAAGATACACTTTTTAATTTGGATTGTCCGATATATATGAATAATTTCCTAAATAATGCTCCACAAACATTTTTTGTGAACACATCTTACTTTTTGTTATTTTTTATAGATTAGATTTATAAAACATACTAGTATCTCTTTATATTTTGTTTTTCTTAATATATGTTTAAAACTCACATATTTACCAAGGCATTGATTAAAATGAAAATATTAATGACATAGGAAAAAATGTACTACTATGTAATACTTTTATTTTCAAATTTCACGTTACTTTTACTCCTATTTAAGAGAATATTATATTATTTGATTAGAAGCCATATTTATCATTAAGTTATGCCATGGGATAGGGCAAGTCCAAATTTGTATTAGAAGTTTTTGACACTTTTGTTTGTTATGGATTAGATGGGCAGCAATAGCTTCATACCTTCCTCAAAGGACAGACAATGACATAAAGAATTACTGGAATACCCATCTGAAGAAAAAGCTCAAAAAGAACCAAGGCGTAGATGAGAACGAGAACACCCAAGATTACTGCAATAACAACAATTCCTCATCATCTTCTCACCAAGCAATCTCAAAGGGGCAATGGGAGAGAAGGCTCCAAACTGATATCCAAATGGCCAAACAAGCCCTCTGTGAGGCTTTATCCATTGACAAATCCAAGGCCGCGGCCGAATCAACGAACCAAGCGGCTAACCCGCGGGCCCCGCTGACCGCCCCCTACGCCTCAAGCACTGAAAACATTGCCAGGCTGCTGGGGAACTGGATGAAAAACTCGGGCCGGAACAATGCATCCCCAGCCCGGTCCAACTCGGAGACGGTCACAACCCAGACCGGGATGGCCGGTTCGAGCTCTAGCCCGAGTGAGGGCAACTTTGATCACTCAATCTTCAGCTTCAACTCGTGCAACAACTCGGACGTCGTGTCCCAAGCTATGTCAGCCATCGACGAAAACGGCAGCGTTTTGCAGGTGGAGAGTAAGCCGAACTTCACGCCGGTGGTACCGCCCTTCCAACCCGGAGCGAAGCCGATGAGCAGCGGTGCTGAGACACAAATGCCCCTGACCTTGCTGGAAAAATGGCTCTTTGATGATGCAGCATGCAATGTTCAAGCACAAGATGAATTGATGATGAGAATGGGAGTTGACTTGGGTATGCCCTTAGGTGAAACAGCTGAGTTGTTTTGAAGTCATATATACAACACCAAATTACATATATGCAAATATATATGCAATGTGTTATGTGTGTGTATATATGTCTTCCAAACAACTTCTATCATAGTTTACTTTTTACCTTTCCATATATATCTTAGGGTTTGAACTATATATATATATATATATATATATATATATATATATATATATATATATATATATATATATATATATATATATATATATATATATATATATATATATATATATATATATATATATATACAAATTATTATCCTAGGGGTTACTTAGTTAATTATAAACGCTGGCCTAGAGCAGCAACTACGTCTGCTACTGGATAAAAATTGTATATTAAGATGATGTTTTTTATTTATTAGTCTCTATATCAAGTATATATAGTGATTGGGAATAATACATGGATCCGAGACCTTTTTTTCTGCAACAATGAGTATAATCTAGCTTTTAGAACTTGTGCTAATTATGGTCATACGGAATAGTACTTTAGTAGTTAACACTTCCATAATTCTTTCCGTGTAGAGTTACACAAGTGGGGTAATTAAGTTGTGTATGGTGTAATTAAAAAATCTCTTCACTCAAGAGGGATTAAATATTCCAAACGAGTCCTCTGATTTCAAAACACAATTTGTCATCAAAATTAAACTTTTTGAATGAAAACTTGTATTTTGATTCTTTGAACAATGTCGATCTCTAGACTCTGTCACAAAGTCCCCACTTTACCTCAAGTAGGTGGAGATCCAATGCATTGTATGAAATGACATTAAACACAAACTGAATTAATTCTGGGATCAAAGTATTAAACACGGAAGGAGTAGTCTTCCCAATGGAGTATCCTTTTTATTTCTAAGCTCTCTCTTACGTAGTTTTTTCACATCTTCTTGCTCAGCTTTCTGTCGTGTAGAGCGAGTAATATATAGTGGTTATTTGGTAGAGGGGATCTCCTCATTCATTTACACGTCTCGTTTTGTCTTGACATAGACAACTTTTTTTCATTTTCTAAGGTGAGTTGCCTGCGACACAAATAAAAAAATGTCTGAATTTGTCTATAGCACAGACAATTCACCTTAAGAATGAAAAAATATTATTGACAAAACCGAGCATGTAAATGACGTGTAAGGCTTTTGGCGTGTAGAAGGTATTTCTCATAAACTTTTCTTAGTCGTAAAAGGAATGTGATTAAGAGTGTCTTAATATAGCACTTTGTTGATTCAACCTTTTCCGGTGTGGGATTTAACAGAAAATAACTTCTTATGTGACTTCGTATTATGTACGGAGTTTATTTTAATTTAAAATATCCTTCCGTCTTCAAAAAATTCTTTTTAAGAACTAACTTCGTTTATTACTAAACATAAAGAAATTGTTTTAATGTTTGAGTGAGATATTTGTCAAGTGTGTTCTTTGGTTTGACTATTTGCTTAGCACCCATGATTAAGGGTACCTTTTTAAGGGTCTGTTTGACTCATTTATACATCTCGATATTGTCCATCCTGATTCGGGCTGAGGGGCGTGTTAAAGTATTTGTCCCACACTGGAAAGCTATAAAACAATAAAACACAGGAAGATTTCCCAAAATAGGAGTAAATGAAGTTTGGAATTTCAAAATGGAACTGTTATGTTTTTCTTCCTGAAATAGGACTAACATGGCAGTATTTACTGCCATCTTGTAGGCATGACTGGCAAATAGTTGCAGTAAGTACTGTGCATTTAACATGACAGTATTTATTATAATTAATGACAGTATTTTTCAATCATGACAGTATTTTTCATATATGACAGTAACAACTCTTATTTCGAAAAGAAAAACATATAGTAGTCCTATTTTAGAATTTCAAACCTCATTTACTCCTATTTAGGGCAATTTCCCTAAAACACTATGATGGACAGTCTACCCGGGGGGTATCTTATCCGAGGGGTTATTGCAGGAATAACTAGGGAGAAGTCAGAGTAAATAGGAGGAGAGAGAGTCGATTTATTAAATGAACTCAGCGTGTGAGAGTTGGGATGTGGATCGTTTACAAGGAGAAATGGGCTGCTATTTATAGCAGCAATAAATGCGATGAGAGTACACGTGTCAACAATCCAACGGCCGAGGGGTCACATCGCTTGGGTGGCACCGGCAGTGGCATGTTCACCGCGTTGAATGCGGTTGGCGGATGTGACGTGGCATTAAATGCGGTGGTTGGTTGTCTCAAAAAGGAATCCTCGATGATTGAGCACGTTTGGCCGAAGGCTCCTTGTGTAGCCGAGGGCTCCGTGTGATCAAGGACCCCTGTGTAGCCGAAGGTCTTGTGTGGCCGAAAGGCTTGATTCAGCCGAAGGCTCCTCTGATGCCGAGGGCTCATGTTTTTTCGCCGTTTTCTCCCAGAAGCTTCTTACGCCAGAGAAGACTATCCTGTGAGTCCTGGAGCCTTCGGCCAAGGAGGCCGAAGGCACCCCAGTGTGTATTCTGGGCTATTTTGAGGTTTGGGCCGCCGTATTTGGGCCTGAGTTGTTCTCTGGGCCCTATGGGCTTGTGTAGGAGAAGTAGGAGTCTATGGGCCGGGGGTTCCTGGGCCATATACTCCATCACACTATATAAGGTTTTGGACTCCTCTTCCTATCAGGTTGACCATTTAGGATGAAACTCCGAGTCTTAATACATGAGCAGCATAGTCCTTCACTAGCTGGTTCTATGATGAGGTCTAGTAGTTATCACCACGCTTGTTTTAGATTAATACCCTTCTGATATGACCAGTCCTTAATTCAAACATCTTGAGTACTTTTATCTGCATCAGGGGCGGACCCAAAAAATTTATCTTGGGAGGGCGGTAACTTAAAAAAAAATTGGGAGGGCAAAAATTATTTTTTTGTATATATATACACTAATTTTTTTGTTGGAGGGGTGACTGCCCCCCTGGGTCTCTACTACGATCCGCGCCTGATCTGCATCTTGAGGATAGTTCACAAGACAGTTGTGGCAACAATTGTATGCCATCAACAAAACATGATGTCTCGTTTCAAAATTACGCAGCAAAATATAATACGGAGTATAACATTATTATCATTTATATTATGCTTATATGGTATGATATGGTTCTTAGGTTGTTTCAATATAAGTTTTTCTTAGGTTGTTTCAGTATATCTTCTATAACCATATTATAAAAAGATGGTGGATTTATAAGTTAAATTTTGGGTTATTAAACAAAATGGTATGATTCAATTGCTTAGGTAATGAACAACCAACTATTTTAGTTTTTCCTATTCGTGCGGGATATTGAATTGGGTTATCACAATGCATACTGGCCTAATTCAATTGATTGGTGGTTTGGAAGATTTTTAGCGCATACTCCGTATATAACTCTAGCTTAGGGCTTCATCTGCTTCATACTCTCTCCGGTTCTTAATTAACTTCCTAGTTTGACTTCATACTGAGTAAACTTTACTGTATAGTACACTGTAGTGACACTGTTTGATACTGTTTGACATTGTTTTGTACTGTTTTGGCACAATTTTACATTGTTTTGATGTAGATTTGTTTGAGACATCCAAAGAGGAAAGTAACATTTAGTACACCCCTCATGATGGTAATGATTGCAGCTAGATATACTCCTTTCAACAATTTCTCACTTCTCTATATAAAAGATACATCCAACATAGTTACATAATCAAACATGAGAAACAAGATGGGACATTATATCAAACAATGTAGGGAAAACATACTTTTCAAGAAAATATATTTTGATTTGGTGATTAGAGTCAATTTTGTCAAGTGATTCACTTAAACTCTTAAAAAACAATACATTGAGTAGACCTGCACAAAACCGGGCCGGCCCGCCCAGCCCGCCCAACCGGCCCGCACAAATGGGCGGGCTTGGGCATATATATTTACCCACCGGGCCCGGCCCGGCCCGGCCCGCAATAACATATGGGCGGGCTTGGGTTAGGGTGTAGGCCCGTTCGGGCCGATAAGCCCGGCCCGCTACATTTAATATATATATATATATATATATATATATAATTTATTTATTTACATGTACATTTATATTTTCTAATATAATTTATCTTTATACATATTTATAGTTTATTATGTTTAAATTTAGGTTTTTAGATCTGAACCACTAGCCCAACTAATATAGTATCTATTTTTGTACTTAAAGATAATACTTTGTGCTTGAATTTTAAATTTTAGATATAGTTTCTCATTATTATTTTTGTGTAAGTATTATTTTTGTATGTGGTGAAAGACCTATAAACATTACACGCATATTAACAATTTTTTAAATGTTGTAATATTAGTTTTAAATTATTAAAAAAAAATCGAAAAATATAAAGGTTTTCCGGGCCCGGAGGCCCGGTGGACTACCCGGCCCGCTCTTATGGGCGGGTATGGACATGGGGTTAGGCCCGTTTTTGCGGGCCGGGCCGGGCCCGCCCACATATGATGGGCAAAAAAATTATAAAAAGCCCGGCCCGAGCCCGGCCCGAACCCGTTTTTGTGCAGGTCTAACATTGAGTATCCGTTTTATAGCATTGCTTATTGGTAACACTATAAAACAATGACATGTATATTTCAAATGGCCAAGGGATTTGGCATTAGGGTGTGAGTGTGTGACTTAAGACCTGGAGAAAGACACTCATCATTTTAAAAAATGCTTTTAAGATTAGAATAATAACCATTAGGTACCTTTATTTCCAATTCAATTTGAGAAATGGTCAAGATGTATGATGCTGGAGGTAAATACTTATAAATTATCTTCAGGAACTGAGTTTTTCCTTGTTATCATATGAACAAGCTAAGGTTATTCCAATATTTTGGTCAATCATTTTTATATGAAAAATGATCAAGTAGCTAGTGTGAATACTCCAAACTCAAAAATAAAATTGACTCGCGCTAGGATATTTATTCATGTTTTCATCACTCCTACCACAATTTCTATTTCAAACTTGGCGTTTTCCACCACCAATTTCATTATTAAAACGTTCCTTAAGATCTCCAATATATGCTCATCATGTAAAAAGTGATGTGGCACATATATACACATTTTTTCATAAATTTCAGCCATGTGGAATAAGCCTTTGACTGTACACCATCATTTCAAAGGATTCTTAATTAGGTTAATTATCAATTAATGTGTTTAACATAAATAAAGATACATCACAAGGATATTCGAATTATTGAAAGTTCAACAGCTCATATGGCCATATGGGGTATGGCAGTGTAAATAAATTTAGAACTGAATGATCATCTAAAATATTTATGTGAAAGTGCCGATAAATTAGGTGTACGTGGTTTATTAAATTAAATCCATCGAAATCACATGAGGTATTAGGCTGCTGTCGGCGAACCAAGGCCTTGAGTTTAAACATTGTCTTTCTTTAATACCTTCTCGGTGGCCATATTAGAGTGATGGGTGATCGTATATGTTTGGAGTAGAAAGAAAGAAATTCGAGACCAAATTGGGCGAATTTAATACTATGAGATTTATTGGCATGTGTAAATGTCTAAGAATAAAACTCATTCC